TATATATATATATAAATTAAAAAGTTAAATTCTTATTTTCTCCTAGATCAAATTTTTTGTTCTGTTGCACAGTAAGATTACATAAGTGAAAAAGATCATTAAAGTCGTTGTTATATTGTTGCATATAGACAGTCGGGATCAATGCCCTAACCTTTCTTCGCATCATCTACTCGGATTTGGTGTCACTCATAATTGGACAAATAAGTCAATTTTTTGGGATCTGTCTTATTGCAAGGATAATATGATTAGACACAATCTGAATATCATACAAAAAAAAAAAAATTTTTTTTTCATAATATATTTAACACTATGATGGATGTTAATGGAAAAATGAAGGATAACGTAAATGCTACACTTGGTTTGAAGCAGATATGCTAAAGGCGGAAGTTGGAGATCCAAGATACTGCTGTCAACATGCTCATTAAGCCCAAAGCAAAATATTTCATCACTTTGTCCCAGTGAAGAATAATTTGTGAGTGGCTCCAATCACTAAAATTTTTGAGTGGGTATGCTTCGAATTTGAGCCATTGTGTTGATGTGAGTGATGGAAAATTTTTAAAAAGAAAAATCACAATTGTCATATTTTCATATAAAATTTGATGCCAACCGCATTTAGTTGTTTGTCGAGCAAAGTCCTTAATCTATTGATTGAAATCAATGTGTTCTTCAAGGAACTAAGTGCAGCTCGTTTGAAGCATGAAAACATACGTCAGATAGAATCGAACATTTATGTAACACTTTGCAAGCTTGAGAGAATATTTTTGCCTAGTTTGTTTGATTCTATGGAGCATCTCTCCATGCATTTACCTCATGAGGCATTGATTGGAGATCCAGTATAGTACCGCTTGATGTATCTGTTTGAGAAGTAATTACATTGAGACTAGATAGTTAGTCACTTATTTATAAATAATATTGGTAATTTGTATTAAACAATATTTATTTTTCAGATTTTTGAATACACTGAAGAGAATTGTGAAGAATAAGTCACGACTAGAAGAATTGATAAGTGAAACATATTTACTGCAAGAGACAATGACATTCTGCTCTTACTATTTTGAGGAAGAAGAATCCATAAAAGCGTCATTGGTTTGATACCACCATCGACCTTTTTTGTTTTCCAGCGGTTAGGTGAAGCATCAGAGAGGTGCACATCACGTTACCTTAATGATCAGAAATTTCGAGCAAAGGCACTTTATATTCTTCTTAATCGAGATAAAGTATAACCATTATTGAGTAAGATATTTTTCATTATAATTTTTAACTCATTTATCTAAAAAGTGTCATGATTAACTATTTCAATGTGTGAACAATTTATTCATGGATTTGTTAAATTTAGTTAAAAATGATGACATGAGCATGGAGATTGAGAATAACTTACCCTAGTGGTTTACAACGCACGTGAGTTAAAATTGACATATTCATTCCTCATGTGATACAAATCTTTTCATTAACACATGATTTCTTATATATAGATTAATAGATTTATGATTGGAGAAATGAAGGGACAGATCAGGGGTTGATAGATCTTGCTTGAAGACCTATGCACATCATGAAAATCTAACAAATTTAAGATGTAAATGGGTACATGTTTCATATGAGGTTTTGATCCAAAGGAAAAAATTCATTTAACTCTGGCGTCTTTGTTAAAACAAACGATAAGTCAGATGATAGGAGACTATCACTGGATTATGCAAGAAGTCATTGAACTATCTTATCCAAGCTTTTTTGGAGGAAGTGTATTCCAATTCAACTGTACTTGATTTGATTATGTTCCTGATTATGAAACAAGAGTAAACACTATATAATATCACTGAAGTGAAAGTGAATATAAGATATGCTAAATTTGAAACTTTCATACAGCCACCAATAAAACCATCTCCACTAAAGCAAACTTTTTAATTTTGATATTTTTCCATTATATTTATTTTAACTATTATATTTTTCTTTGTTGGAACTGTGTACTTGTTCTATATTATCGTTTCTATTTCGATTCAACTAGTTTTCTTTTTTCAATCTAATTATACCAATGAACTTATCATTATTAAAAAAAATTTATTTTCTTTCATTTCATTTAAATGCAAGCATTTCTTTGAGAATACAAAACTGATTCACTTAATTTCATCATACCCCGCGTTATTTGGGTGTACAACTTTTCGAACTCGAGGTGAGATAGGATAAACCCTCAAGACATACTAAACTCTCAGCCAAATAAATAAAGAAATGATAAGAACAAACCTTAGTTTTTATGTCAGCGATGAACATTATCATTATATGCCAACCTTGAAACGTCATATAATATTTATGTTAGACGAGCTTTCGAGTTGAATCTTCTCACGTTGAAAGTTGAAAGAGCTGACGATACAAAGTTATAGAATCGCAAGTTCAAGCTCAACAAGCTCAAAATTAACCTGACTCAACACGAAAGCTCGTTGTCAACTTGATTAGCCTTACTAATGTTCAAACTTGGTAGCCCGTCTCCTTTGTCCAGCCAATATAACCTAGCCCAAATCAACATTAGCTAAACAATCAGCCCCGCTTAAGCTCTGACTTACTTTTATATAATCCTAGAGTTTTTGAAGAGCTTCTAAAGTCTAACAACAGTGATGATATAAAGCTATACCAAGCAAATGAAAAAGCTAACTCATACCATTTTTGAAAAAAAAAATAGTATTTCTTAATAATCTCAAAAAACTGATGAAAATTACTAAAGAAAGAATAATATTTGAAATAAACTCCAATTCTAAATTCTAAATTAGTAATTTGGTACATTCAATGCCATCCCTACAAACCATTCACCCAAATGATAAAACATAAGATCAGCACCACAGTAAAAAGTTCATTAATAACTCCTCTTTTGCAGCATTTTGTTTGAATCCTTGAATCAATGCAACAAATTTCATGTTCATCATCAATGCTACCTCAAAATTTCCTGAATTTCAAGCACCTGATTTCTTTGCTCCGGAGGCAGCAGATTAATTTGTTCAGGTGTGAGCATCAGCACCTGCTGGAGCACGGCCTTCTCCATCTCCGGCGATAGCTGCAACAGAAACGTTGCAAGGCAAAAGAGTATACAGGTAAATTTGTAATAAAAAAAAATAGAGCCTGAATTTTAGCCCAAAGGTTGAATCAATCTTTTATTTGGATCGAGTTCAAATTAAATTAAATTTTCCTTCAAAACATTTTGAGTTGTGTCTTAATTGGATTAAAATGGCTTGAAATTGGCCCAATATATATGCATATATATGGGTATTAATTTAGGGCTGTCAAAACAGCTTCTTGTTCGCGATCAGTTCGTGTTTTGACTCGTTAAGAAGCTCGTGTTCGATTTGTTCGTCAAGTTAACGAGCCGAACACAAACAATTATTTTTCGCTTGATGTATAAACGAGCCTAACACAAAAAAAGATTTGTTCATTCATGCTCGGTTCTTTTTGGCTCAAAATAATTAAATTAAATTACACACACACACACACACAATTGACAATTGATGAGTAGTATTTTAAAAAAAAATTGACTATGAGGCAACAAAGATTTATAATTGATTAAAGTTATTAATTAAAAAAATAAAATAAAAATATGTTAAATTGTATTTAAATAATATAAGTAATTAGATTTAAATCTGACACCAACCCTTAATATCCTACGGTTGCATGATTAGGGTTGTCAAAACTATCTTTGTTTGAGAACAGCTTGTGTTCGACTCGCTAAGTAAAAACGGGCCGAACACGTACAGTGGTAATTTTTAACGAACTGGATATAAGTTGAGTTTGGGCTTGCTCGTTTTCGGCTCATGTACACCCGTATTATAGATATACATATATCCATACTATGTTTTTTTAAAAGGGAGCATTAACATACATCCCACTCAATTCCTATGTATTTACATATACAACACCTAAACATTATTTTGACATTTATATCACCCAAATCATTCATATCACATCAAAAAGACCGCTACTTTAACTTTTGCAAAATAAAATACACCTTATGCTTATGTAAGGCAGCATATATGTAGAAATTGAAAATTAGGTGTTAAATATGTTTATATACATAGGAATTAAGTGGTATGCATGTAAGTCTTCCTTCAAAATTGTGCAGCCCATTTGGTCTGATGGTTGGGTATTTTGTCTCCAACCAGTCTCGTGTTCAAAGTCTAGTTGTGTGTGGGTAAAAAAAAAATTATTCCGAGGCAGTTCATACTTGTGCCCAGTGACCTTGAAATTAAATCAATTTAATAGACTACATCATTTTGAGCCAGTTTATATAGGTTCAATCCGATTTCGAGCGGGCACTGGAAATGGAACGACTCATAAAAAGATAAAAGAGGTTTTACCAGATCCCTTTTATGGAAGTTAAAACATGGGGAGGAGAGAGAGTTACCAGTGGCAAGCGAGGGGACTGCCCAGCAGGACCGGCGGCTATCTGGCCAAGGGGTGGTGGCAGTGCGCCGGTTAACGGGCCAGCGGCGGGTTTTTCTGTCAAGCCCGGTATAAAAGGTCCTCTTTCAGCATGCATGGAGGCTCCAGCCTGGTTTCTGTAGTCTGAACTCATCAATCCACCCTGTATGCAATTAAGAGTGCCAAAAGTTCAAATATATGATTTAATAAAAAAAAGAAGTAGAAGCTTTGGAATAGCCTCCCATTAAAAGAATAAAGACTCTTAATCTTCAAAACTAATAATTAAAGAAATAAAAGAGCTAATCAATAGATCCTTCAAATTAGGAAAGCATGGCTTCAGATTCAGGCGCATAGGGCCAGAAAACAGCTCAGATATGCCATAACAACAGTGTTTGAGACCCAAGAATCTAAAAACAAAAAAGAGATAGAGAAAGATGAAGAAGATGTTAAACGCTAAATCATCCACAGCAAAATGTTAAACAGCTAAAAAACCAAAAAGTTGAAAGGTAAATTAACAACTTGCATAAAAGCAGCTAGCGGTGTAGCTAAGCCAAGCCAACTCAAGAGTCCGTTCGGGTTCACCTCAATAAGTAGCTCGTGAAATGAGCTCGATGAGGTAACAAACCAAGCTCAAGCCAACCCTATCTTGAATCGTTATCTCGTGAGCCTTGAAAGTTGCATTTTGCAATAAAATATTATAACAGGGTAAAAAAAGTTATACAAAACTATGCCTCAGGCAAGCACAAAATGTGATCTATCATCTACTAAAATAGAAAAAACAATATAAAATATACTCAAATTACATTAAAATTTAAGAGTTTCTCTTTAAATTATATTTTAAAAAAAATTCTTCATATTTTATATCAAATTATTTCTTATTATTTATCTCATAATTACTCACTCTATTTATCATTTTATTATAACACTAACTCGAATTAATATTATTATCTATTTCATAATGAAAAAGCCATCTTGTGATAGGTCGAAACTTGTAGAATTATGCTTAAGATTAAGCTGAGGGTAGCTCGAGCTCGACTCGTTTATAACTCTGGAAGCAACGTGCGTCAATCTAGGCAATTAAAGCATTTTGACTTTATAGCAATTCTCATTGAAATCATTATTGAACTTGTTGCCTTAATAGTGGCCTACATCTTCTTCAACTTATCAACATAGATAGAACTCACAAACAGAAACATGTACAAAAAAAGCTATAAGAAAATTTTCAAAATAAAAACACACGCAGGCGTGGGCGTGGGCGTGGGTGTGTGTGAGATAGGATATTAAGGGTCCATTTGAGACAGCTTATTTGGTACGGTGGCGTTTTGAAAACGCACCTGACCTATTTGGATAAATTGCGTTTTGACAGCTTATGCATTTTCAAAACGCTGATAACAGTGTTTTTCACACAGCACCTATCTAGGTACGGTGACAGCAGTCTGACTTTTTTTAAAAAAAAAAAAATTGTAATAGCCACGACACCTATCTTATTAGCATATTATTTTAAATCAACTTATCAGCAGATTATTCAATAAGCTACACTTGCCCCAAAAAGACCCTAAATAATAGGTTAAAATATTCATTAGTTTTTGTATTAGATTAATAAGCATAAATAGTTAGTCAATAATGATTAAAACTCTTGTATTTTATTAATAGTTCCTATTGGACCACAATAAGGAATAGAATGAACATTGTAGTAAGTTCTTGTTTTCTTTTTATTTTTGGAGTTATCGGCGTCCTCGAATTGTCATTTACTTTTGGAGTTGCCGACATCCCAAGATCTGTCGGCCGCTCTAGTTCTCCGGTCCCGACCTCCCAGCCATCCTTTGTTATGACCACCTGATCAAGATTTCCAAATAGCAACATTGTTAGGAGCGTGCCATTGCGGATCAGCCCAAACCGCACCTTGGATGAACACCCATGAAGGATTCCTTGTCCAGCTGCCATGGACCCTTCCAATCAATAGTCAGGTGTTGTCGCCAACTCTGGGAAGCAACCGGAGATGATTGTTGAAGCTTGGTATCAATAGTTCAATGTCGAACTTCACAGAATCTCATAATTCTTTGTATTGTGAAATATGTATGTAGCAACTGTGATGTTAATAGTTTGAAATGAAACATCTGCTTTTAATTGGCCCAAGATCCAAAATTGTCACCTTCGACAGCCACACTAACGTGATCTTAATTAGTTTGCCTATGCCAATTCATGGTTCATGGTTGGAACTCCCCTGGGAAGTACAAGGTTTGGGAACTTTATTTTTGCTGCTATTGGTGGCTTGTGTTCATTGCCCACCAATTTCACCGCCATCTTAAATTTTTGTTCTTTCTACGATTTCCTTGACTTGAGGACAAGGTCATTTTGAAGGGATGAGTAATGATAGGTACAAAATGATATGTTATAATATTCATTAATTTTTGTATTAGATTAATAAGCATAATTAGTTAGTCAATAATGATAAAGGATCTTATACTATATAAATATCTCATATTGGAGCCCAATGAGAAATGGAATGAAAAATATAGTAAGTTCTTTTTTTTCATTTTTTTTTTTAGAATTGCCGGCATCCTTGAATTGCATTTACTTTTCAAGTTGCCAGCATCCTCAAATTGCCGATTAACAAAATTAAAAGAAATGTTCCTATAAATGTGTGTATAGAAAGAGAGAATGTTTTGTGATGTGATCATACCACTAACATCATTTCACACGGGAAAAAAAAAATGAAAAGGCGGGAGAGATGTTCTTAATGAAATGTAAACAAGTTAGTGCAAGTTTGAGAATAATTAAAACTTGGACGAGGTAAAGTGGCCATGCATTTCAATCAAAGAGGAATATTTTTTACAAGAAAAAACTATGCACAAATCCATGATTTGTCAAATGATTTTTTAAATAAATAGTAATCGTTATCAGTCGTCTTATCCCAACTATTTAGAGTCAACCAAAATAAACTCAAATATTTGGTTGAATTAAGAACGTATAACTCTTCAACTTTTACTTCCACAATCCTATGGCTTCCCATGCTAGATAATCAACTTATGTTGCCCTTCAGAAGTACAAGAACCCCCTACTCAAGTAATTTTTGCGTTTTCATGTTATACATATGCAGCTTAGTTTAGTTTTGGTTGGCAGGATTCTTGCAGCTGGCACGACCCAGAGCAAGATATGTGTGACTGATGAGTTGGAACCGTGTAGCCTTTGATCAATAGGAGACTTCCGTGAGATTATTGCAAACTTTCACAGAATATTTGTAAAGGATAAGTAGATTTTCATACCAAATCGTAATGCCAGTTCGTTTCATGCCTTCCTCTATTATATAGGAAAATTTCCTTATCATAATTAACTATGTTAATTCCTTCTATGACTACTTTCTATTAAACAGTGTCATGGCCTTGCAAATCCCTCTCAATGAATCCAAACTCTCGTTCACTATCGATACTAGAATCAAATTTAATGGTACTATTTGATCATATAACATCTTCTGTTCATATATTTGTCGTTTCCTTTCCTTCATATCTACTTTTGGCGCTCATGAAGAAACATTGCAGAATTCTCTCTGAAAAGAGGCTATAAATGCCAAGATGAGCACTCTACTCAGTCACCATATGTAGGATTACTTATCAATGGATCTTCACATTTAAACTTCATCGTGATAGATCAATCAATTGGTTGGTTGCCAAAAAACTCACTTGGGTCAACGACGGAGACTATGTTGACAATCTCTCCATTTTTATTTCAATCTTTTTTCCCCACACTTTCTCCCCATATATCAAGCTTAAGTCCATCTGAATTCTCCTCTATGTGGTCATCAATCAAGGTTAGACTATGCTACAAATGGACATAAATAAAAATTTATTTTATATCGATCTTCATGAGATCATTTACATAGAGCAATCTCCTGGGCATGTTTCAAGATGAAAACCACATAGCATACACAGGAAGCACAAGGTCCCCGTATATCAAGCTTAAGTCCAACTGAATTCTCCTCTATGTGGCCATCAATCAGGGTTAGACCATGCTACAAATGGATATATATAAAAATTTATTTTATATCAACCTTAATGAGATCATTTATATAGAGCAATCGCTTAGGCATGTTACTCAAGATGAGAGCAACATATGCATACACAGGAAGGCTATTTAGGGCCTTAAACAGGGTCCACTGACCTGGTTAACAATTTTTTAATTGTCTTTGCTAAACTTGCTCTATGTAGTAATATCAAAAATCAATTATCATCAAATGACATACTAAAATAGACTCTGTCACACATGTTATTTATGTTGATGGCATATTGTTCGCTAGAAGTGATCATAATGACATATTGAGAGAAAACACTATCCTCAAAGGTATTGTTAATGTAGATTTAGGATGGCTGAAATATTTTTCTAGTAAGATTTGCTGACAACAAAAATGAAGTATGACTATCTTAAAAAAATATGCTATTGATCTTCTTAAAGCAACTAGGCTTCTAGTTTTGAGTGCACAATATCAATTACGAAGACTTACACTACATTAAATAGTAAATATCTGCTTGATGTGACTATCTTAAAAAAATATGCTATTGATCTTCTTAAAGCAACTAGGCTTCTAGTTTTGAGTGCACAATATCAATTACGAAGACTTACACTACATTAAATAGTAAATATCTGCTTGATGACTTGTAGATTTATATAATAATTACCATGTCTGACAACTCATTTATCATTGGGATAGTTAGCCAAAATGTATCAAATTAAAAATATAAGCATTAGAAAGTTATTCTACGGATTCTCAAATATATCAAAAGGTTTCCTGAAAAAAATTTTCACGGATTAAGACTGCTCAATTAAATGATGAGCACTTTTGAGATACTGATTATGTGCAGGAAAAAGTCTATCTCAAGATATTTATAAGATGGTGGTGAGACCTGCAATGGTGGCCTATAAAAGAGAAGCATAAAACTAAGTTAAGTGCTATTGAGATGACAATGGTTAGGTGGATGAGTGACTCTACACTTAGACGACCAAATGTGAAACAAATATTTCCGAGAAAGGGTTGGTGTAGCTCCAGTGCCAAAAAAAATTAGAGAGAGTCATCTTAAATAGTTTGGTCACATTAATCATCTCTGATTAATCAGTTAAAAGAGTAGATGTTTTAGAATTGACATATGTTAGCGTCGAGGTTGACCTTAAAAGACTTGGACATGTATAAAAAATGATCTTAAATTTATTAGAATTAAATGAAAATACGACACTCAATGTGACATAATGGAGAAAATTGATCATGTGGCCAACCCCACTTAGTGGGAGAAAGGCTTATTGTTGTCGTTGTTTTTTTTGTTAACTTTGTCGTCTAGAAAAAAATTAAACAAATTATGTTGGATAAGTTCAAACTTCAAAGCAGAAAGTGAATGTAAAACATTAACCCACTCAACAAGTGAAATAGTGCAGTTAAAAATTTTTTTTTAAATATACTTTGGTTTGCCAATGACACAACCTAAGACATTGCACAATGATAGTAATATCACTATCAATATTGACAAAAATCTTATTTTTCATGAACATACTAAACCAATTGAAAGGGATAGTTAATTTCATACGAGTAGTCCTGCATTCAAAAAATATTATTAGTCATTTTAAAGTTTTGAACAAGGGATGGATGCATTTTCCAAAGCTCCAAGTATCCACAGTTATCTTACTTTCTGAAAAATTTAGAGCTAACAGATATATATACTTCAATTTGATGAGTGTTAATATATTAAAGAAATAATATTAGAAAACATCATATTTGAAGAATAGACTATCATGGTAATATATATTTCTTGTACATTTCTTCTAAATGTGGAAATTTTTCTAATAAGTACGAACACTTTCTTCAATCATTTCAATTTTATCTCCTTCCAATATGTCTATAATTATAAACACCTATGTTTAGTCAATAATACACTAAAAACTATTCTTAAAAGCAGTGATTTTTTTTTTTGTTAACACAATTAATGAGAAGTTTACAACAACAACAACAACAACAACAACAACAAAGCCTTAATCCCACTACGTGGAGTCGGCTACATGAAACTTTTTTCTCCATTGCGTACTATTTAATGTCATATTTTCATTTAGTTCTAATAAATTAAGATCACTTTTTATACAATAAGCCCAATTCTTCCTAGGTCTTCCAAGTCTTCATAGGTCTACCTCTGCCTTTCTTTACACAAGTCGAATCTAAAACATCTACTCTCCTAATCGGATCATCAGATGGTCGACGTTTAATGTGACCAAACCATCTAAGACAACTTTCTCTAATTTTGTCTGTCACAGGAGCTACACTAATCTTATCACGGATATATTCATTTCGCATTTTGTCTCTAAGTGTAAAGACACTCATCCACCTAATCATTCTCATCTCGGCAACACTTAACTTATTAACATGCTACTCTTTTAAAGGCCAACATTCAGTGCCATTGCAGGTTTCACCATTGTCTTATAAAATTTTCCTTTCAGTCTAAGTGGCACTTTTCTATCACACAAAAGACCCGAAAATTAATGAGAAGTTTAGAAAACACAAAAAAATTTCATGTTATTTTATTTATCTTGAGAAAGCATGCAATCAAATGTGTTCTGCAAAAGATATTTTGGTTTGCATTAAAATAAAAAAGGTGCACAATAAATATATGTATGAAAGAACACATGGTAGTCTTAAAATTAGTCACAAAGTAATCAAAGAATATCCAACAATTTCATTAAATCAAGGTTCAACATTGATGGAGATATTTATAAAGGACATTTAAAATAAAATGCCTAGGTGCATGCATTTTTGTAGATAACATACTTTTAATTATTGAAACATCATTGGAACGAGTCAAAAATTTGGGACATGACTAATGATAAGACTAGAGAAGAACTATAATTAGTTTAACAAAAGATTGAGCATCTTATATACAATTTTACTAGTATTAATAATCATCGCCAAAATTATTAGAAGATATATGATACCTAAATGATAGATTTCTATATCTTGAATCTATTCCACAAACGAATGAAATCTAGTAAAACATATAATTTTTAGAGTTAAGGATTATTGCTTAAAATAAAAAAGAGTTATTATGTGATAAGATGTCATGAATACTTAACAAGATAAATTAGGTCAGTTACGGTGCATATATCTAAGTGTTGGTAAAAAATCATAAGATATCTAAATTGAGGATGGCATAAATGAAAATATTATGAAGAATATCTAGCAAAAATACGAAGAAATAACTAAAAATAAATATATGAAAGCCTTACATACATCACACAATTCTCATATACTTACATATGTCACCCTAAAAGTCAGATATTTACATTTATAACACTTTAGTGTCATAATCACATCAAAACCTAAACATGAAAAGGTGCATTTCATTTTAAAAATGTTAGTAATGGTAGTATTTTTTATTTGATATTAAAGATATAAGAATTATGCACCAAAATAACAAAATTAAAGTATTAGATATGTAAATATATCAAAATTATATGGCATGTATACATGTGGCATCCATCGAAGAAAAAGATAATTAAAATAGTAATTATAGGATTTAGATAGATACAAAGAAAGATTAAAAAAAACCAAAAGAGAAAGTAGATAAAATTAGTGTCAAGTGATTAGAAAGTAGAAAAAACAAATTAATATAACATGGATAAAATTTATTCAAAATAATTTATGAAATATAGGTTTAAAATCTTAAGTAGCACTTAACATTAACAAATAAAAATTGAGACTACAGAAATCTCTTCTCAAATAGTTGGGATAGAATAAATGATGATGATTATGACCATGAATTACAATTTCAATCAGAATATTGATACCTTCAAAGTTTAGAAAAATAACACGCTAGTCCAAGACGTAACTATTGCTATTGTTTTTTCATTTTTCTAAGTCCGTACAAACCATATCCCACTTCTCAAGACCTTCAGAAATCTCTTATCCACTTCACATGACATATAACTTACCGTGTTCATGACTCCTAGCATTTTCTACTGAAGATATATTTCAATAACTGAAAGAATCTGCGGTAGCCTGTTGAAGCAGAGATAGCAACAATCATAAAGCACATAAAGTTTAACAAACCATCTGGTCAAGCTAAGCAGACAAAACAAAAATAAAAGACTTAATAAAACCATGACTCATGTCACTAGCTATAGAACAACATAGCCTTTGAGAAGCTATACTGGAATTATGATGCAAAACCAAACGAGCAGTAAAAGAAAGGGGCCTTTACATACATATCACACAATTCTTATCTACTTACATATCTAACACCCAAAATTTACATAAACAGCACTCAAATCCTTAATATCATATCAAAAATATCATTATCCCCTACCTTTTAAAAGTCAAATGCATCTTCTCATGCATAAGTTAATCACATCAAAGTGCAATCACACCAAACGGTTAAATTTAAATCTGAAATTTTGCATGCAAGATAAATAAATCCATAAGATCTGTATGGTATGTATGTGTAAATTTTCCTAAAAGAGAAATACAAAACCTGATAGAACTGTTGAGGTGGTGGCAGATTTGGTAGCGGCGGTTGCCCTTGTGGGAAAGAAGAAGGGGGTAAGCCACCAGACTGAATTTTAGGAAAAAGAAATGTATTAATCAATATAAATTCATAAATTCTTCAGCATAGAGTTAAAAACTTAAACTACAACAACTAGTAATGTTTGGCCAACTTACATGAAACAAAGGTGGCGACAAAAGATGTTGCGGAGCACTGGATGGCGGAAAACCAAGACTGTGAGGCATCTGTGAGGGTAACTGATGTGGGAAATGCTGCATAGGAGGCCTCGGCTGCTGTGGAAGAGGGGGTTGAAGTGGCTGGGGAAACATTCCGGGAGCCTGTAAAGATGGCTGCGGCTGTGGCTGTGGCTGTGGCTGTGGCTGACTGGATACCATCGGCAAATGGGATTGAAGCATCGAGAAATGTGAGAGAGGATGAGGGGGTTGGGGAATGTTACGAATCTGAGAAGAATGGGGAGGGAGTCCTGGAGGACCACTGAAAAATGTCTTAGCTTGCTGTGTTGGCGCAGGAGTGGAAACCACTTGTTGGGAAGGATAGCTCGCTAGTGTTGGAACGGATGCGGTAGCGATGGAAATGGGTGGGTATTGGTGTTGTTGCGGCCTGGCTGGGACTGAAGGTTGGGGTGTAGTTTTTTGACCCTGTAATCCAGCTTGAGCTGGCAATGGTTGATTAGTGTGAATAATAGGTTTGTGTCCTGATGGAGCTGATTGGGGCAAGCTTTGCTGCGGAATAGTGGGCATCTAAGAAGAAGACTCATTCAGAATTTATCCTTTGGTAAGAAAAACAAGCTAAAATGATAGTCGATCGAAATAAAGTAATGGGATTACCACTTGTGGAGGTTGTACCATTCCAAGCATAATTTGTGCCTATAAGATGCAGAGCAATAGATTAGCTACTTTTTTCAATTGTGATAAAAAACTAAAAAATGATGCAGAATCTTTCAAATACCAAATAATTTATGCATGTAAGAAGAAAAAAAGGACTACAATTGAAGCGATAAATGGGTTAAAAACCGCTGCCAATATATTGACAGAAATTGTTGTGCATGAGCAATCAAAAATAGATAAATAAGACTAAAAACAACTAAGGGAGGATGAGGTTTGACACGTGGAAATATATAATTATCATAATAGCAGTATATTTGCGCTTGAATAGCAGTGGAACCGGTCAAGGCCATGTGTTGACTCCAATCTAGATTATAGTGCTATATGACATTCCACGATCTAAGTTCTATGATTAGATCCACTCTACCAACATTGTGGGCTTCACATAATTAATTTTACTACATCTAAACTATGGCATATGCTAACTATTTATTATAGCAATTTACATTATTCATCATTATCATACTCCCTTGTATATTGAGGATATTGTATTTTTCATTACCGTTCACTTCTTGCCTCTACTTGGGTACTAAGATGCCAACTAAGTTGTAGTAATTTATAATTATATTTTCTATCATGGTATTAGAGAGAGAATATTTTTCAATTTATAGTTATATTTTCTATCTTGGTGACTAATGAAGAAGGTAGAGCTATTTAAGATTTTTCTTTAGCGTGTGATTTTGTTATTACTAATACTTTATTCAAGAAAAGAGAAGATCATCTTATTACTTATAGAAATGGATCTAATAAAACACAAATTGATTATTTGCTTATGAAAAGAGAGATCGTCGAGATTGTAAAGACTGTAAGGTCATTCCAAGTGAGGATTTGATTACCCAACATCGTTTATTAGTTATAGATTTTAAAATGAAGAGTGTTAAAATAAATAATACTAGGACTCATCATCGTAGAATTAGATGAGGGAAACTAAAAGACACATAAATTATTTTTATGAGTAAAACTCAAGATTTCAAAATTTGGGATATTCATCATGAAGCAAATGCTATGTGAGATAAAATAACAAACATTATTAAACTAGTAACAAAATATGCACTTGGAGAATCAAAATAAAAATTTTCTTTAAATAAAAATAGTTGGAGGAAAAATAATGTGCAAGAAAAGATAAAATATAAAAAATTATGTTATAAAAATTAGTTTAAATATAAGAGCTTAGAGAATTAGGAAAAATATCTTTATAATAAATTAGATACTAAGAATGGTGAAAAATATATGTATAAACTAACCAAACAGCTAGCAAAACAAAGAGAAAAGAAAATTAATGAAACTCAAGTAAGCTGTATTAAAGATGAAAATCAAAAAGTATTTTTCTTAGAAAAATATATTCAATATAGGTGGGAAAGTTATCTTGATGAACTTTTTAATGAAGTTTTCAAAAATACGATAGACCTAAGTGATTGTAATATCATTAATAATAATAAAACATTTTATTTTTACAGTCGCATTAGTAAAAAAAAAGTTGAGGAGACTTTAAAGAAAACCAATGGTGGAAGGTTTGTAGGACCTGATTATATCCCAATTGAAGTATGAAAATATTTAGGAGAATTGGGAGTTTCTTGGCTTACTAAAATTATTTAAAAATGAAAAAAATTCCTAAGGAGTGGAGGAAGAGTATTTTGGTCCCGATTTTTAAGAATAAAGGGGATGCACAAGAGTATGCAAATTATAGAGGAATTAAGTTGATGTGTCATACTTTAAAATTATGGGAGAGGGTAATTGAACATATGTTAAAACTATTACAAAGATTTCTCTTAATCAATTTGGATTTATGTCGGGCAGGTCTACTATGGAAGCTATACATTTATTGAGAGGTTTGATGGAGAAGTTCAGAGATAATAAGGAGAATCTACATTTAATTTTTATTGATTTAGAAAAAGCTTACAATAAGGTTCCAAGTGATATCCTTTGGAGAGTTTTTGAGAAGAAAGGTGTTGATATGACTTATATTCAAGTCACTAAAGATATGTATACTAGAGCTGTTACATGTTTTCGAACTGAAGGAGGATTGACCAAATATTTTCCTATTTTTGTTGGATTACATCAGGGATCAACTTTAAGCCCATATCTTTTTGTTTTAGTTATGCATGGTCTCACCGGACATTTACAGGAGGATGTACCTTGGTGTATGCTTTTTGCAGATGATATCCTTCTCGTGGATAAGACAAGAGAAAAAGCCCAGAAAAAAATTGAATACATGGAAAGTAATTTTAGTAGTAGTAGCTCTAGTGACAGAAGTCTAACTTTGAGTGATCAAATTATTAAAAGGTGTGAATGATTTACATATCACGGGTCTGTTGTTCAAAGCGATGGTGATATAAATGGGTTGTTGTCGCAATGAGAATGATTAGGCAGATGAGTGGCTTTACACTTAGAGACATAATGCTAAATGATTATCAGTGATAGGGTTGGTGTAGCTCCTTGACTTGTTGCCGGTTAAATTTTTGAAGATTTGAAAAATATGAAAATAAATTTGAAATTTTAATTTAATATGAGAGCTATATAGTTTGGATTTTGAAAGTGGCATGTTTTAATTTTTGAAAAATGAGACCAAATGGATCTCATTCGTCCAATAGTTTGCATAATTGTGTCCGATACCATGAATACTACACATATCTGAAATGTGAGTGTATATCTTGACAGTAGACCCAATCCTGTAAACTAATAAATTTATGACATCTGTTTGGTGACCGACAAGTTCCCCTATTTAATATAAATATGAAATAGAATTTATTTTACCTGGATTCCAAATTCCATATAGAGGCAAGCCCCTATAGTTAATTATATCTCAAATGACGGAGGACACTTGGGAAAACTCTCGACAGTGATCAAAGGATCTCAAGGTTTAGGTTTTCACGGTAGGACGTAGAAAAACAAATTGGGAAAACTCTCGACAGTGATCAAAGGATCTCAAGGTTTAGGTTTTCACGGTAGGACGTAGAAAAACAAATGAGAGTGACTCAAGTAGGAACAATTATTTTCACGAGTCTAAAGAAAAAAGAAGGTACGGGATGTCACAGATCATGAGGAGAAACCTCAGCGACATTCCAAACTATCATAATGTGTGGCTGAGTTTTGGAGACAATGTTATTTAGATGTTTGATCCTGTTAATTTTATTATTTGAGACTTACACTTCCGCAGAGATAAGAGTGTTTACGTCGTTCTGGACGACAACCTCGAAACCTAAGGCAAGTTAGAACTTCCCAAATTATCCTATTGTGTGGCTGAGTTTTGGAGACGATGTTATTTAGGAGTTTAATCCTATCAATTTTATTATTTGGGACTTACATTGAAACTTACACTTGCATGATAATCGATTATGCAAATAGCCCGCAGAGATAAGAGGGTTTACGTCGTTCTGGACGACAAACTCGGAACTTAATGCGAGTTAGAACTTATACTGCTCAGTATGACTGTGCAGAAGCCTAAAAGAAGGTGAGGATTTACATCGCGTTGGGCTAGCTACCTCGAAGACCATCTCCACTTGTAGACCGCTCCAAGCTCCTCGTCGAAGTTGCAGTCCTAAAGTCTAAGGTTTAAAATGTTGTACCATGTGTGTTTCAAGTTTTGGTTTTGTTATCATCATGGGGGGTTAAACTTGATTAGAGCAACACCGATTAGGATCTCATGGTTCCCCGCTCCGGTATCACTATTTTCTTTTGAACTTACTTGGCTTAAACGAGTTGTGAAATTCATTTAAACCGAGGAGATCTCGTTAACAATCGTAGATTACCTCCTCCGAGGGACTCCCGTAAATTCAAAAGTACGTGTTATGTTTTTGTTCTGTTGTTTTTTTAAATGTTGTTTAATTTTTGAAAAACCTTTTTATTTTGAAAATAAAATCGCAATCAATACCTGCATAATATGTTAAAACAAGAGTAAATTGCAATGGTAAAATAACAACAAATAAAAATGTCGGTGTATGTGTCGTATCTGCTGCTGCTATGATATCAGCATCATATGCAAAAATAAGCAAATATAACTGAGAATTTAATGAGCATATTAAATGTGAGCCTCAGCAAGTAAAAGAACCGGTGACACAGAGGAGCTCCCACAACTCCAAACAACAGCTAGCAAGCCTAAACAACGGTCCTAAAGTCTCCTACAAGTCCAGCCAGCAGCTAGGGAACCCCAACAATGGCTATTAATCACCAAACAACAATTCTAAGCTTCCGAACAGCACTCCCTAGCACCAGACAACAGTTTTAAGCTTTTAAACAGCAATTCCTAGCACCAAACAGCAATCCTAAGTTCTCAACGACTCCAAACAGCCATTTTACACTTCCAAACAGCAACTTGGACGTTTCCTACAGCATCCTACAGTGATCGGCAACTCCAAACAGCAACCTAGACACTACCTACAGCTTCCAACAGCGAGCGACAATCTCAAACAGCAATTATACAACCAGTTCTTAGCCCAAAAAGCACTAAACAGCAGCCTAAATCACTTGTATGCTTTCAAACAGCACTTTCTAGCACTTTCCCAGCTCAAAGCAGCATTAAACGACAATCCTAAGCTTCCTAAACAGCTCGCTTAGCGAATCCAAGACAACATTTTAATCTTTCTGAAACAGTGAACATGCAGCCATAAAAATGGTTATTAAATCCTTTACAAGATCAACAAGAATATCGGGTAGAAAAAGCCCTCAAAGCTTGTCTAAAACAATTAAAAAAAATCATGTCAAATGGTGGGAGTGTCAAACACAAATCAGCCCATGTGCGGTCCCAAAATAGTGCATAAATCCTAAAGATGCAAAGATGTGCTTCTCATTAAGCAATGGAAACACTTCTTATATAGAATTAAGGGTTCGGGTGGTGTAAAGACAAAGTTTAAATTTCAGATATGTTAAAATATAAGAGTGGTGTGGTATGCATGTAAATCTTCCTAAAAAAAACAATTCAGATAGGCAAGCTCATTTAATAGACATAAGGCTCTTTATGATTTTGACAAGAAAAGATCCCATAG